TATATAACTGATTTACTGATAGTCCCGAAAATCTACTTAAATATGAAAAATAAGATAAGAGTGTAAATACAGAAAGCGGATGGGTAGCACAACCGTTTCGATGAAAGTTGGTCAGGGGTTTGACTTCACTTGCCTCTTTAACAAGTTGGAGAATACTGCCAAGATTGACAAGGCGCATTGACGATGCTGAATACGAGGTCATTGAAACATCTGTGAATGTACCAAGTACACGTTCCAACTCTGGGAATTATCATACTCTACCTTAGCAGAGGACTTCGGACAAGATGTGTCCAACTAGGTCGCCCTGACAACACAACCAAGTTTCGAAAGCGAGGTAGACCACTTCTGTGCATCGACCAAAACAGAGGCCGTCGTCATACCTAGCATTTATTCTTGTTGGTTTAACCTCATTTTAGCATCTGGGTCGGAGCAACAGGTATATCTTGTGGAATTTATTCCGTTCTGTGTCCTCTGCCCTAGAATGCATAATAATTTCAAACATCCAACTATTAGCCCGGTACGTTGCCAAAATCGTTCGTGAGAGGCGCTAGCCTTAGGATTGGGGTAAGCTTCATCAAAAGGACAACTAATGGCAATCTGCTTGACTTATTTTCTGTTCAAATATTGTATCATCTTTGTTACCCCCTATCCTAACTCTCTACCCTCATCCTTCAACCCCACTTCTTATGGCCAAAACCCCTTGGTTGTCTTCGGTTGTTCCAATGCCTCCCAAGTGGATTTCTTGAAATAAATTCAATTTCACCATTGGTTTCAGATGCCGTTCGCAGAGCTACTAGAACACAAACAGCGCTCCCACTTAACCAGTTCCTCTTCACATCTTGTTGACTGCTTCCTGCTTCCCTTGAAAATCATTGACTGACTAAAATCCCCCGACTCCTCGCCCATTACTACCTTATTCATGAATGTATATCCATTAATGTATCCTGAGCTATAATGGAAAATGTGTGATTGCCTTGGCGAGGACCGCAATTGTTGAGATATTCCATTTCAAATATTCTTTATTGAATCAAGTAAAGCACTCTACTTGTTTTCTCACCTTATCAACCCCACCTAATCTTGAGGTTCAACCCATTTCGGCGTAGTTACTAAGTGATGTTGTTAGACAGATAATGAAAGACCTGTTACTACACTCACACGCACGCTTAACTCATGCCCTGATGGTTAACTCATAGTGTGCCTCCAACTCATACTTCTGCAACACCAAGTTGGATTAGAATTTTATCTAGAATCTGAACTTAGCATCCCTAATGGTATAATATTCAGAAGTTTATGTTCCTTCATTTCAATATCCCAAAATGCACTCATCCCGACAACTTTTTGAAGCCGATCCTAGGTCTGACTCCACTTATTGTAATAATCTGCCCTTAATTTCCCTTGCTCCCTTAACACCCGCTTCAGATTCTTCGAATAATTTAGTTAACTCTCCTTTTTGCAGTTCTTGCGGAATTCCGAATGTCTCAAAGTTAGCCTAGGGAGAAAGCGAAATTGTCACTTACTCTTGCCTCTTACCATCTCCAGTTCATTAGGTTCGGAGGATTTTAAAGGAAAAAAATAACCAAAAGATCTGAGCCCAAACCCACTTTTCGGGAACAGGTGAATTTAAATTCGCTGAGGATAGCCATAACTCTTGAAAAATACAATGGCATGAAGAAGAGCTTGAGTCACGTTAAGTCTCTCGGGGTAATGTGGTTAATGTGGTTACAAGTAGAAGATCTAATAAACTTTGGTGACTCGAGTTCTTATTCAAGATCTAATGCCATTTTAAAGCCTACTTATAAGGTATACAAGTGTCCTGTCATTGACATAAAATGTATTAATATTGCAACCTATTAGATCTCATTTAGGGAGTATCTGTCGCTCAGAAACAGGTAGAAATTACCTGAAACAAAAGCATAAAGTATTGAGGAATTGGGTTCTATTGTGGTGAGGGGCCTCATTCTATGAAATAAACCAAAATAATAGTCGAAATCGAAAAAAACAAGTAATCCTAGGTCACAAAAGATGGTTTAAGGACCAATAGTGGAGTTCTTCCCAGAAAATATGCTTAGTCTTGAGTCCAAAAGGTTTTCTTTTCCTGAGTGGGATCCAGTTTTGACCTCGCCTCTCATCAGTATTCCCACGTGATACTCCACTACACAAATACTGTTGTCGAAGGGACACAAGGCAGATGTAAATTTCATGGCCAGTCTTTTCTATCCAAAATCGCATTTATGTTTGGATTTTATATGAATGAAATATGTACCTTCCGTTACTTATTTTCTATATTTCAAAACTTACTCACAACTAATTAAGGTAAGTATTCAGCTCCTCACCATTGCAACGCCATAAAATGTCTGCATAGCTTGATACAAGCACTTAATTTTGTAGGTATGGAGACCAAGCTGATATGGACTTTTATTTTCAGGAAGCCCCTTTGGTCATACTCGAAATCGTTTTTCTAACCTGGCCATGGTTACGGGATAATTTCGTGTATTCTTATATGAGACCATCCACAATTCCGCTTAAGCATATGGGAGTATACCAAGCAGGTTGTCCTAGCGAAATAGGTAACTTATTGAATATAGGCTGTTTCTCAACACTGTCCTACTATAAATAGATTATTTTGTTTAATATAAAAATGTATTATTGTAAACTAAAACTCGTATCAATAGGGTATTATTTTATTTTGTATTACAATAAGGTGGACTACATTATCTTGTTCGATAACTAAAGACAAAGACCACCAATCTGGTCCTTGAATTTCCTTTGACTTCCATACAAATCGGCTACCAGAAGCATCAGTATGGAAAATTAAACACTCCTCTTAAGCAAGAGTTCCTTTAGATATTTCAAAGGTGCATTTCAACATATTTAACAGCAGAAAAATCGACTAATTAAATAAATTCTTTCGCCCAAAAGATCTTTCTAAGCTATTCAAACCGGCCAGTGAAATTTACAAAATGTCTTTTAATCAAGCTCTGTTGCAACCAAATATACGATAAGAACAGGGGTCACCCAAATTCTTATAGTTGTATTTCCCACAATAAAATGAATAGGCCTTAGAAAGCCCCTGAATTGCACATCAACTTGCCTGCAATTAAGCTTTCTCATTCCTGGTGAACTGCAGTTTTGACCTCGTCTTGGACTCATGGGCACCCCGACGAATTTCGTAACCAGATTGTGTGCCTCAAGTACAAGCGTTGCCACCCCATAATAAACACGGAACCGCTGTGAATATAAAGGCAAGCGAAGCCCGACTTAACTCATACCTAATCTTAATAACTTGATGGATTTAAAGCCTACCCACGCGGTATCTTGTAGCATCACCTGGGCAAATACAAGTTTGTCCTGTAGAGTACCAAAGACCCCTGTATCTGTGTAGCAGAGTGTTGATGACCTGTTTCAAATCCATTTGAAGCGAGCTTTTAGTTGCAGCCCAGACAGAATGTTAACGCCTCTTTGGAGGCGTAGCTATGCGAAATTAGGCGGTATCAATGGTCAGGCTAGTGTATCTGTGAAACCTATCTGGCTGGTACAGGCACAAGGTATGGTAATATTATGACTTACTGCAATTGGGGCACAAATTCTGATATATAATTCTCTCCAAATCCTCACTGAAGAGAATGGGCTGCCTCGCTAGACTATAGATCCTTCGTTGGGTGCTCTCCTCTGAGATTGTCCTCAAGAAGAGAATAAACTTTATGTTCTGGACATAAGTGTACCTGTCCAGGCAGCCAACTGGGGAGTCGAGGTTATGTTCTGGCCTTTCTCGAAGCATCTGAATAAATTCGTCTCCAATGCCATCTTCCTTTCTCGCCAGTTTCATCTGGCCTGCACCTCTGAGGGGGGCTTTTGGCCGGGGTTCTTCCGCCTCCGTCGGCAGCGTCGTAGGCCGTACTGTAGACCTTGAGAACAGCCAGGCTGGTGTGTAGAAGGGCCCGGCTTGGATGTTCTCGTTTTCAGGCGGTATACGCCGCCAATCCTCGACTGTCTCCTCTTTGGTATGCCGGACTCCGCCTCGAGTCTCCACATCCCAGACCCTCTGAACGACTGGACTGGCCAAATTCTGGCCCAAATAGGTGTAGTAGCGGCAGACGAAAAAGGGTGCAAAAAACGGACTGGCCGGAAGTCTATTCGTCCTGGAATCAGTATTGGATCCATCATTTTGGAGGTCCTCATTGTCCGAGTTGTCTCTTTCAAACTCGTCCCCCCCTCTGTCTGGGGCACGCAGGTCCAAAGCTTTTTTTGCCTTCCACTCTTTGTTGGGATCCTCCGCTCTGAGCAGCCTGGCGCTGAGGATGATCGGTGCCTCGTCGAGACTGGCCCTCAACTCGTGGAGAACGGTGGGCTCTGTCGTCATTGGGCATTTATCCGGGGCCGCCAAGACAAAGTGGTCGCGAGGCCTGCCACTTGGCCCGGTAACCGCCTTTCGCATGGCAACCAGCTTGACTCCGTCGCGGAGGCCCAACTGTTGGCCGGCTGTTGTCAAGATAAGAAAACCGGTCACTATGGCGGCCAGATAACCAGCAAGTCGGATCAGCATGCCGATTGGGACGGCAGTGAAACAGGTCCAACGAGAAAGCGAGATTGTGGAGACGGCGAGGGCGATTTCAGCCGCCTTAGTGACTGATGAGGCCTTAGCGGCCGGGAGAGAATCTCGCTTCTTGTAGACGCCGTGTCGACTCGTCAAGTGAACACGGAGACAGAGGGATTTGAGCAGAGTCTTGCTGTCTGCCCTCGTCTCACGCATGGCTGCCCCCAAATGGAGGCGATCACTTGGAGAGAGGAGAGCTAAGGAGACGTGAAACTTTAGACATCTAGCCTTCGACTCTTCTTGCTATTTTACACGCATACACATATATATGCACATACACACGCTTACAAACTCACTTTCTAGGCCGTCTGCCATGTTTGCCTTTACATCTGCCTGTAGACTGTAGTCAAGACATAAGTGCATGCAGGGCAATCCCAATTGAAGGGAGTGATGGCAACAAGGTTACCAAAAAGGTGTCCTGGTGAAAGTGGGTTTCTCACACGTTCCGCCAAAGTCTTGGTCCTATGCTCATCCCCTTTTGAAACTCCGATCGCATTTGAGCTATTTTAAGTCCATCAACCCTTTAGTAATCAATTATCAGCGCCAGTTGATCTCCGATCTCTGCCCCGCCTCTATCGAAAGCTCATTTACATGTGCACACCCGTTCCCGTCCGTAAGCCTGAGTTGGCAACCAGCAAGGGCACTAGCATCACTCTATGATAAGACAGCAAATGAACAGTGAGCAAACTGCCGTTCTCTAGACTTGCTTGAGCCTCTCTCCACGGCGAACTTGGCAATGTCTGGAGGAAACCTTTAGGTTGAGAGTGGAAGGCTGAGGAAGATGATATGGCGTCTCAACGCTGTGTATGTACCGGTACGAGTTCTCGCATCGGTTTCTGTGCCGTGAGCTGACTCGACCTGTTAGCGCATGTAGCTACAGGCGTGAGTGGGCCGGGAGGTGTGTATACACAAAGTCTCAGTCACCACACTGAACGGTGAGTTTAGGCGCTCTTGTTGCCACCCTCCGACCCAATGGAGGAGACGTCCAAGCCTTTCCTACACTCTTCCAGCATAGCGCTAAGTTGCCCAGCCCCCTGTTTGTATGGCGGTTCGGTGTGGGCTGGTAGCCAGTGCGAGTGGTCAAATCAAAAAATCACCATGTTACCTCTCAACTGCTAAGACGGTGTTGTCATCACAACGCACAAGTCAGCTAGCTGATTTGCAGCATTGTAAAGGCCAGTGAGCATTCGTGAAATAATTCGTGAATAGGTGAGCTAGGAGCTCCTGAAGCTGCCACAAGGAAGAGGGAATTTGCCTTTACAACCGCAAATTGGCAGATTGACTCACCCGAGTCATGCAGTACACGAATCCCGTCTAATCCCGTTGAACAAGAGCTGCGTTCAGACGAACAGATCACCGACAGTTCTAACCAGGGCTGGTGCAAATAACAGAATGGATAATCTATCGCTAGTACAGACGAATTGCTATTCCGCCAGCTCGGCAATTATCTGGCCATACATCAGATAAACTAGTCAGAATTCGTATTTGGCCGATGAGTCTAACGAAAAAACATTATTC